CAAAGGTACGCACGTGCCAAGGCATCTCGAGGGCGCGATAAGGCGCCGGGTCCATCGCCGGGATTGTTATTGTTATATTATTATATATTATGTATTATGATATATTATTCTTCTTCTCTCCCTCGCGCTGCGCAGTGTGTCTGCAGGACAGCGTGTTGGCGTTCTGGAAACACGGGATGCAAGGAAAGAGTCTGCTCACTAACGAGGTGATGCGCAAACGGCTCGGGCAACGCGTTTACTCTTGGTCCGTGCCCACGGGCACCGTCCCCCCCCCCCCGCGGCCGCCACCCCCCCCTCTCTCTCTCTCTCTCCCCCCGACTCGGCCTCGTTCTCCACCACTGTCAAGCCCCACCGGGACGCTGTGTTGCTGTTGTTGCTGATCTCTCTCTCTCCCCTCTCTCTCTCTCTCCCTCTCTCTCTCTCTCTCTCGTTTCAGGTAACGCAGGAAATTACGGATGAATCCAGAATTTTCCGGGTTCTGGGGACTCACAGGTAACACGGGATGAGATTCCTATAGACTAATCGATGGACTGATCGGTTGACTGACTGATCGATCGACTGACTGACTGATCGACTGACTGACTGATCGACTGACTGATCGATTGACTGACTGATCGATTGACTGATCGATTGACTGATCGATTGACTGACTGATTGACTGACTGATTGACTGACTGATCGATTGACTGATCGATTGACTGACTGATCGACTGACTGACTGACTGATCGATTGACTGACTGATCGACTGACGGACTGATCGATTGATGGATCGATTGACTGACGGATCATTCGATGGACTGATCGATTGACTGACTGATCAATCGATTGACTGATCGATCGACCGACCGACCGACTGATCGATTGAATGACTGGAGAGGGAATATGCAAATGAATCGATGAAATAACGAACACCTGACCCCCTCGTTCCCATTCCCGACCCTTCTCTCTCCCCAGGGATATCATCTTGGAAAGCCGACCGATAGACAACCCAACGGCTCACAGCAACATCTACCTCCTAACCGGCCATCAGAGCAGCTACTGAGACCCCGATTTACCCCCTTCTCCCCTTCCCTGAGACCGACCCCCCCCACCCCACCTTTCCCCCTTTGCCGCTCTCCACTCCCCCAAGACCTCGTTCCCCCCACCCTCTCCCTTACTCGGTTTCCCCTTTCGTCCCTCTCCCAAGACCCCCTGACCCGCTTCCCCCTCGCCCTATCTCATCGCCTTCCCCCCACTCCTCCCTGTTTCTCCCGAGCCCCCCCCCCACCCTTTTGTACAGACCCACGAAGCTTTACGCATTATTTAATGACCTGTATTTAGTCTCTTAAAGTAAAAAAAAAGTTTTAGATTCTTGTGTCCTGGACTTCCCTTCGGATCTCTGTCTCTCTCTCTCTCACTCTCTCTCTCTCTCTCACGCGCTCTCTCTCTCTCTCTCTCTTGGGGTCTTGGCCGACAACAACTCAACCGTTTATTATCCCAACGATCCCGACCTCCGACCCGGCGCCTTATCACGTCTTTGAGACGTCACAAAGCGCGGCAAAGTGGAGCGAGAACCGTGGGCTCCGAGGGAGAGATGGGGGCCTTCAACCTCTCCGCACCCGCCCCCCCTCCAGAAATCCATCCCACAGTCCCTTCGCCTCCCTCCCCCCCCCCCCCCCACCGTCCCTCCTCTGCCTCCTTCAAGGCACGACTTGGGGACAAAAAAATTGGCTCTCGATAGACAACCCAACGGCTCACAGCGACATCTACCTCCCAACCGGCCATCAGAGACCCCGATTTACCCCCTTCTCCCCTTCTCTTAGACCCCCCCGCCCCGCCTTTCCCCTTCCCCCTTTGCCTCCCCGCCCCCCCCCCCGCGAAACGTACAGTCACTACGCTCGACGGCGCGAGCCGCGAAGCGCTATGAGGCGTCGCGACAAAGCGCTGACAAAGCGATATCGACGACAGGGATTATTATTATTATCATCAAATGCCAAATTTAATGTGTTGGGGTAATTACAGTGGGAGGAGGTGGGAGGGGAAAAAAAACACTCCCGCCCGCGCCTCCTTCGTGTCCGCTAAACAAAAGATTTTTTTTCTCTCTCCCTCCTTCGCGCCCGCCCGCCCGCCCCTGGAACGAGGGTGCGCATGCGCCAATAGCCCCCTTCGTCTGTCCCGCCTCCCTCCCTTTGTTCGTGGGTGAGTGGCGTGACGGCCAACCAATCAGCGACGTCCAGGGTGAAACGGGGCGACGGATTCCTATTGGCCGAAACCGGTGCGCGGGGCGGGAGCCGCCTGTCGGGTGATTGACGTGCCGATCGATCGAATCGGCAAGCGGGGCGGAGGCGGGGCAAGAGCGCCCATTGGTCGAGGCTTGCCGCGCAGGACGTGCGCACCAAGGGGGGGAGCGGGCGTGCGTGGCGTGCCGAGCGGCCAATCAGCGGGCGGGGCGGGGCGGAAGGGGGGGCGGGACCGGCCGCTCCCATTGGCTGGCGGCCTGACGCACTGTGGGTAGCGTGCGTCGGAAGCGAGCGGGCAAGTCAGAGAAGCGCGGAGGCGCCGACGGGAGAGGAGGGAGGGGGAGAACAGCTCGCGCTCCGTCCGTTTGTTTCGTCCGTTAAGGCCGCGCTGAGTCGGTCACTTCGCCGTCGAGAGGCCTTTTTTCCCCCCGTCCCCCGGAGCCCTTTTTATTTCGGTAGTAGTCCAGAAACGTAGCAAAAGCCCGGAGGCGACCGGCGCTCGACCCAACGTCGACGACTCGGGGAGGAGGAGGGGGGGGAAGGCCCGCGCCGCCGCCGACGACGACGACGACGAACGCCGCCGCCATCATGGAGGAGCCCGGCCGCTTCTACATGATGTCTTCCTTCAGCCAAGCGGCGCGAGAGCGAGGTGCGGCCCAACCCCCCTTCCCTGGCGCCAGCCAATCGGGCGCCCGGGTGGCTCTGAGTGGCGCGCCGACCGGCCAATCAGGCGCCCCCACTCTCTCTCCCCCCCCCCACCCCCCCCCTCTCCCGCCGCGCGCGCGGGTCGGGTCGCGGGCCGTTGGTGCGGCGCCTCGCGCCCTTGAGTGACGGGCCGCGCTGTCCAATCAGGAGCCCGCGGGCGGTCGAGGTGGGCCAATCGGGCGGCGCGGAAGTGGGGGAGGGGGCGGGCTCTGAGCGAGGGCGGGAAGGAAGAGGCGTCACGACGCGCGCTGCGGGGGGGGGGAGGGGGCGGTCAGTCAGTGACGGCGGTTTGAGTGACGGGGCGGGTGCCAGCCAATCAGGCGCCGGGCTGGGTTTGACTGGCGGGTGAAGCGGCCAATCGGGGCGGGCGGTGGGGGAGGGGGAGAGCGGTCCCGCCCCTCGAGCCGAGCCGCCATCATGTCGTCGACTTGTGAGGGAGAGAGAGAGAGAGAGGGGCCATTGGGGGTGTGGAGGACGGGGAGAGAGAGGGAGGGGGTGGAGGGTAGACTGGGGGGGGTGGGGGGTGCTCTCTGGGACCTTTACCCTCTCCCTCTCCAGGGAATGGCCTCACCATAATAATGCTGATCGATAATCACATGGGATGATTGTGTTTGCGTTGTTATGACTATTACTGTCATTGCTGCTGTCGGTGACGGTGGCGCTCACCGGCCCCAGTGGTTACCGTCCGCGCAGCCCCCACCCACACCCCCACCCGGCGGCGGCGGCGACGGCCCTCGTCACCCCCTCCCCCCCCCCCCCTTTTTTGGCCCCTTGGCCTCGACGGGGCGTCCCGAGGCGCTGCGAGGGAACGCGCCGCAGAGTGGCGCCGCCTTTGCCCGTCGGCCGACAGACAGACAAAAACAAACGAGTAAATAAAACCACTTCTTTCGGGTTCATTTAAGGCGTTCTCCTCCTCCCCCCCTCCTCCTCCCCCTCCCCCTCCCGCCCCCTTCTCTGAGGCTTGAGGGTCGGGGTGGTGGAGGAGAGAGATGCCGATAAACTCGGGGGTTGGAGCGCTCGCCTCGCACGCGAGAGACCCGGGTTCAATCCCCGGCGGCGCCAAACCTTGGGGCGAGTCCCCTTACCCCACACACAGCCCTGATTAATAATCCCTCCCCAAGACAAAAAAAAAACCCAATGATAAATGGGCCATTTTTCGACCCGCGGCTGTTTGTGGGGACAGACGCCGCTGCGCGCAATCGGCCGCCGCGTTCGCCCACAAATATACGGCCGATTCGCTTTGCCGTCTATTCAGCGAAGCGCTTCGGGACGTCGAGAAGACGTGGAAAGCGCTATATCAAACGCAACGATTATTATTATTATTACGTATGCGGTGGAGGCTCCTTAAGATGGACACATTGGGGCCGGGTTTTAGGCTTCCCCTAAATATATATTTTACATATATATATATACATGAAATGTATATAATATATATCAAGATGCGCCTTTTTGACTGTGCGTTCAGCCGTACTACTGCCCCTCTACCCTCCCTCATCCCAACTCTGCCCCCAAGCTCGGGTCCTGATCCCTAAGGTTTTGAGGGCATTGAGGTGGTCCGCAGCGGGAACGATCGATCGACCGGGGTATAGGGTCCCGCAGTGCTACTCGCTGCGGACAGCAGAGTAGAGAGAGGTGGCCCCGCGTGCGTGTGTGAGATACTTTCGGTCACAAAAAATGTTTTTTTTCTCCTCTCCCCCCCCCCCCCCCTCTACTCCCTTCCCCTCCTCTCTGCACCTCCCCCCTCCCGGGAATGTTTCCAGATGACTTTGGCCAGAAGAGGAGGAAGAGAAGCCGGTGGAGCAGTGAGACCCCGGATCAGAAGACCATTATCCCCGGAATGCCCACTGTGATCCCGCCCGGCTTGACACGGGAGCAGGAGCGAGCTTACATCGGTAAGGAGTCGAAACCAACTCCGCGTCACTTTACAGTCTTAAACCCCCTCTTCCCATGTTATTTGCGGTCTAGTCTTAATCAGCCTTAAATCACAGTAGAGAGGCATGCGGCTAAGATGTATTTCAAGTGTGTGTGCGTGTGTGTATATATATATATATACCTACTTTTTTTTAAAAAAAGAGTTGCTACTTATTTCAGTTTGCTGTAATCTCGGGGAAAATGCTGATCTTGTTTTTTTTTGTTAACTTCTGAATATTGGGGGTGCCACGATATAAGTAAGTAAGCTATAAGTAAGGTGGTCTTCTCTAACCCCCCCCCGCGTCCCGCCCGTAATGTCTTAATTATTGAACAGGATGTGCTTTATTTTCTTTCTTTATCGTTTGATGATGATGTATCTTGTCTCCGCACAACCATTCCATCAGCCCTGGCGACGCAAGGGAAGAGAGGGTTTAGTTTTGACTTCTTTTGGTGGTTTCGGCCGATTTTGGACGGTATGAAGACCTTCGCTGGGGTGAGTCGCCTTAAGTGACTCTCCCCGCCCCCCCCCACCCACCCACCCCCCCTTCACTCCCCTGGAGCTGGCACGTGGGAGTGAGATTTATTGATTGGAAGCGACCTTGACCCACTTCCCCAAGGTCGTCTCGCTCCAGTCCATTCTCTCTCTCTCTCTCACTAAAATGGATGTTTGTTGTCTTGGGCAGCATTGGAAACGAGCTCTCTTTCTGCTTTCCCCCCCACCCCCCCCCGTTACAGGGTGCGAATTGCTATGGCAATGAGATTTTCTCTTCCTCCCCCACCCCCTTAACCTGGCCCGTGATTGCCTCCCGCCCCCCCGCCCCACACACAAGTTAATTTGCCAGACACCTCACTCGGTGACTCTCAAATAACTGGGCTCGGCTCGTTTGCTCATCTTCTGAGGCTCCAGGACTTGGTCCGAGCACCGTTCACTGTCTATGGGCCTTCAGCCTCTCTGCCCCCCCACCCACCCCAGGGTCCCCCGCCTCACCCCCCGCCCCTTGCCTCCTTCAAGACCCTGCTCTTCGACCGTGCCTCTGTTCATCTACCCCCATCCTCCCTGCCTGGTGGGGTGGTCAGTGGGGGGGGTCCGCTGAGCTCAGTGAGGTGACTGACTGACATGGGTGATGGAAAGTTGTGCAGAGAAAAGACCCGGTTTTGACCGTTGCCCTCGGGCCGGGCGGGCACGGGATGTTTTGCTGCCACAGAGATCAACACTCCAGACAGGCTGGATTCTCACCCACCACGGCTGAATTGGCTGATCTTCGACCTCGACTCATGGTGCCTCTGGCCCCATCACCTCTGGCAGGGAGTCTTAAGACGGTTAATCCTTTTGCGCCTGCAATCGATTCTCAAAAGAGAGAGGAGAGTTCTCCCGCTCTCCCTGTGTTGGGCCTTCAGTCTCTCTGCCCCCCCCCCCACCACCCGCTGGAACAACCCTAACCCTAACCCTTCCCTCCTTCAAACCCTGTCGCAAGACCCTCATCTTCGACCGCGCCTTCAAGGACCATCCTACCCCAACCCTCTGTGCCCTCCACCCCCTCCTGATCCCAACCCCCAGCTCAGGTCCGAATCCCTGACTATCCAGCGCCTTGGGACGTCCTCCTGACGTGAAAGGTGCTGCGTTGAACGCAGTGTGGTGTGTGCCGGAGATTTGCACACCCGCACACGCGCTCGCACAGCTCGACCCTAACAAATTGCAAACAGAAAGGGATTAACCTCTTAACTCTCGCTCCTGCCCGACCGCACGGAGGTGTTTGCTGCTTAGAAACGCAAACCAAACAGCTTGGAGCCTTACGATCAATCAGCTGACTATCCAGCCCTGACTGCACTGTCGAGCTCTGCGTTCATCTCTCTCTGTCTCTCGTTGTAAAATGTTCAGTTACACAGGGATAAAAATGCAATCATAACGGTCTTATCCTCGTTAAGCATTGAACTGTCTAGAATCTGTGCAGGTTAACGTATTCTACTGTTTTTTTTAAAAAAAAAGCAAGAGAGGTGTTTGTTTTTAACCTCCGACCCCGCACCACCCCCCCTCCCGGGCCCCGCACCCCACAACCCCACCCCTCCCTCTCCCCAACATTTCCGGTTTTGTTTTGACAATAGTTACCGGCAGTGTTCCCGAAAAGCCCCCGTCTCAACGGCAACTCCTAAGTGGCTCGCTGGCTGGGCAACGGTGCAGGGCTGGAAGCAATACGTAGCCCCGAGACAGAGTTTAACTCGTACCCTCTGCTGTTTGCCCTGTGGATAGTCCAGGCAGTTTTTTTTTTATTAAGGACCCCTTAACCTCCTTTCTCCCCCCCCTCCCCCTCACCCCCTCCGCAATTGGAATTAGCTCCAAAGTCATCCCTGTCTTGCGTACTGTATCTGTCCCTCTAATGGTCATTAGTGGCCGGATCAGTGGTCCTCTCGCTCTCTCGCGCGCACCCCATCACCTTTCCCGGTGTCTGTATCACCCCCCGACGCAGTTACTGCTTGGGTTTCAAGTGCTGCCTCTCCCTTTTTTTTTTAGTCCCATTAAGCAGCAAATGATATACATTTATATATTATCTATTTTCCGCGTCACTATTGTGGTAGCTGCTGAATAATAACGTTTCACCCCGTGTGCGTGTGCGTGTGTGTTTTTTTTTTAACTTAACTGTACCTTGCATTAGGATATGTGCGGGAAACTTGTCAGCCCAGTAATTAACGGTCCTTTTTGTCAGGCAGGAATTTGCTCCGGGTTTAATTTCAAAACCGCAAATGTTTTCCGAGGCTTTGCTTTGTTTTGTTTTGAGAGTGAAAAAAAAAGCTAGTTTTGTCTTTCCAAAAAAAAAAAAAAAAAAAAAAAACAAACTACTACTCCGTAATGTGTGTTAACTTTTTTTTTGAGAATTTATGTAACTTTTCTTTTCCATCCTTTTTTTTCCTAACCTGGTTACTTCCAGTGCAACTACAGATCGAAGACCTCACTCGTAAACTGCGTACAGGAGACCTTGGTATTCCCCCAAACCCTGAGGACAGGTTGGGACAGATTTTTAACCAACTGACAGTAACCGTTTTTCCTTTTCAATTACTGTACTTGGTGTCCTGGCATTGTAAAGAGATGTGTGATGTTGCTCGGGTATTTAATGCTCTCGATTTAATGATGGTAATCTTTCACTGACCGCTTCAGTACAGGAGATAATAATTATTATTATTATTACTATTATTATTAATGATGATAATCCTTGCATTGAATGATATACCACGTCTTCGAGACGTCCCACAGCGCTTCACAGGATTATACCGTAAAGTGGATTGACTTATCTTTTGTGGGCAAGTGGCGCGCAGCAGTCGTGGATTGAAGTGGCCAAATTATTATTAATTCTTTTTTTTTTTTTGAGGGATTATTTCCCGCCCCCCCCAACCCCCCCCACCCCGAAAAGCGATCCGCCAATCGACTAACCACTAGGTTCCTGTTTATTGCTGTGTAAACAGACGCGTGGAGTAAGGAAACTTGCCTAACATTTCGCCCCAACCCGCCCGGGGAAATGGAACCCGGGTCCTCTCGCTTGCGAGACGGGGGCGCTGACCGCCGCGCCCCGGGACTCCGCCGGCGCGGGACGTCGCCCGGGTTCGGAGTTTAAGGTCGAAGAAGCGATGGTTGCAGGGACAGCTGTGCTCTTTGTTGTGCCTCCGATGTTTAGGGCTGTTGCTGTGAAGCTCTTGTCGGCTTAAAGGCTTTGCGATAATGCTTTGGTTAATCCGAAGGTGGTGGGGGGGGGGGGGGGTAGCAAGAGGGGCGATGGGCTGCTTCTAGTCTCCTCACCTCACCTGTCCTGGTCTATCTGGGTTCAGCCCGTTTGCCCCATCGCCGTCTCACCTACTGCTGTTCTCTGTCTCTCCTCTTAAACACCCCCCCCCCCCCCTCCCGCACCCACCCACCACAGCTGTGCCCAGCCCTCCCGCCATCATTCTGCGCTCATCACATTCTCCTGTGTGAAGGCCACGAGTTAAGCGTTAACCGTGCGGCCGACGCGCAGAGCAGCGAAGGAGCCTCGTTCTGCGAAGGGGACCGTTGTGCAGTCACCAAAGCTCTCGCCTTCCCGGTTCCCTCACCACACAGCGCCCGTCAGCTCCGGCCCTGGACTTGCTCGGTCTCGGTATCCACTGAGCCCACCCGGCAGAGGGCGGCTTAACTCCATAACTGGCCTCAGCCTGCTCCACGTCCACGCCCCCCACCCCACCACCAGCTTCCGCCTCCCCACCCCGCGGAACTCCATCCCGCAGTCCCTCCGCCTCGCGTCCTCCCCCCAGGTCCCTTGCCTCCGTCAAGGCACTCCCCGTCGAGTCAGCCCTCCAACCTCCCCCAACTAAATCCCTCACTGTCCTGCCCGGCGCCTTGGGACGTCCTCCCGACGTGAAAGAAAGGCGCTGTGCAAGCGTAATCCGTTGTGACCTGGAACTCCTTGACAGTGACTTGATTCTCATTAGCAGCGGCTGTCCTGTCAGTAACACAGAGCTCAATTTAAATGCGAGAGAGAGGGGGAGAGAGAGAGAGAGAGAGAGAAACCAGTTAAAATGTCCGCGGCTCTCACCCATTTGGCTCCGAGCGTCAGTTCAATCCTTCGTGTGACAAATGTGTTTTCCTTCCCAAACCAGTCTTTTTAACCCAATACATTTTTTTCTGCATCGATAATACTTTATATATTTTTTTTTTTGAACGCCAGAAAGTTTCGCTCAACTTAATCTGTATTTTTTTTTTTGTTTCGCTATTTGAAGGGAGTTTTGTTATTGCAGGTCAAAGTTAGGGGGGGGGGGGGTTGTGTGTGTGTGTGAGAGAGAGAGAGAGAGAGACAGACCCCATCTTATCTGCAGGAGAGAAAATATTGAGAGAGGCTTCTGGACTGAGGTTATGAGGGGAGGAGGGGGAGGATTTCTGTGTCGCTCTCTAGTTTACGGAGGAGGGGGGTGGGGGCGATCGTTAACCTTTTTGATTCTCTTAGCGGTTGAGAGAGAGTGCGTGTGTGGTGCGGGGGGAGTGGGGGCTCGTTATCGAAAGCTTCTGGGGGAGGGTGTGTGGGAAAAGGGGACTCGCTCGTAATCACCCGCTGGTTTATCGCGCGGCGGTGGTTAGCTCGTTGACGCCGCTCTTTGCCGTCCTTTCGAAGAGCCGGCACAGACGCCATGGGCCCGAATGGCCTCCTTCTGCGCTGTATGACTCCCCATGTTCGGGTTGCTACGAGACTGCTTGCGAAATCATGAAACCGTCCCCTCCGTCCCCACGCTCCTCTGGCGTTGTGAGTTTAAACTCCCCAAGAGTTTGATTAGACGTAGGATTGTACCTCTAAATGATTCTTCCCTCCCCCCACCCACCCACGAGCGCCCGCCCCCCCCGCGCGCGCGCACGCCTTCTTCTTAATAATAATATTAATTTGAAAATAGCGCCTTGCCACATCTTCGAGACGCCTCAAAGCGCTCCGCAGCACATACTGTAAAGTGTAGTGACTGCATTTTGCGGCCAATTGCGCCCGCCCGCGTCTCCCCCCCCCCCCCCAAACAGCTGCGGCTCGAGGTGACCCATTGAATTGTTCTTTTTGTACAAAAAAATATACATATTTGGACCAAAGCTGTCTCGTCACAACTCCAGCATCATTGTATTGAGATCAGAATCTGTTTGAAATGCTTTTATTATTATATATCTATATATATATATATCTATTTTTGTCTTATTTAAAAAAGGATAATTCCCCCACCCCACCCCCACTCCCCTTAACCAAATTCTCCCGTTCACTCTCCTCGTTTTAATTTTAAAAAAAAAAATGATCATTTAGCAAAAAAAAAACAAACCCACAGAGCCGTAAGGTTCGGACTCAATCAGCCAAGTTCTTACAGGTGAAGTGAGTGGGGTGTGAACCTGTGTCTTTATCTTAAAACAAACTATATATATATATTTTTTTTTAGAAACATCGGGTGCTTTTGGAACGAGTTAGGTTCTTTGAATTAATATTTACTCACCATGTGCGAGGGGAGGAGGGGGGGGGAGGGTTGGGAGGGAGCTGTGGAACGGCGAGGGGTGGGGGGGGGAGCGTGAGAGAAAGGACTACGCTGTTTTGAGTTTGCTAGCGGAACCTAACCCATCTCTCTAGCACGGTTAGCGGCTCGGATAGAGACAGTGTTAGCCAGCAACTCGCCTCCCCACCTTCAGAGGTGAAGGAACTGCGAACAAAAAAAAAAAACAGCCGTTGCCAGCGACTTATAACCAAAAAAAAAAAACCAACAAAAACAAACCGTAACCCTTTTTTTAAAGCACTTCTCGCCTCACCAGGGAATTAATCGCTTCTTTTTGCTAGGACAGACGTCGAGGTTCGGTGTCACAATATTATTATAACCCTCGCATTTCGCCATAGCGCCTTAGCACGTCGTCGAGACGTCTCACAGCGCTTCACGGGGGTATACCGTAAAGTGTAGTGGCTGTGCGTTTTGCGGTCAGAAACGCAGCAGCCGATGGCGCCCGCGCCCAAGCGGTCACTGTTCAGCCGACTTTATTTAACTAGACAACCAAAAAAAAAAAAGGCAGTTTAATCCAGTTATTCACCCCGGGACGGAGCATTGAAAAGACTTTCGCCTTAAAATAAAGTTTCAGCTTAAAGATAAGATGCGTCTCGTCGCCCGGTTGGGTAAAGGGGACTTGCCCCACCCTCTCCCCCTCCCCCTCAAGCCCTCTTGTCACCTCACCTCGTAAACTCTTAATTGTTCAGGGGGTCGAAGCGGTGCAGAATTCCAGATGGTTTTATACCCAGGATGTTTTAAGATAGCCCCCAAGTCCCAAGCGCCTTCTGCGGCTCCTGTCTCTGAGGGGTTCCGAGAGAGAGAGAGACCCTGAAAGAGAGGCATCTCAGACCCACCTCTCTGTGGTGGGGCGAACTCTTTTTGGGGTGCAGTGGGGTGGGGGCCAGAGAAAGGGGACTGTAGATCCCTCGACTCCCGTTCCTTATACACATATATATATATATATAGGGGTGAATTCTATTTCCTAACGAACAAACCACAGGGTCTCTGAGCTGCCCCCAAGATTAATTACCCCTTTAACTCTTCCCCCCCCCCCTCCCCCCCAACCCACCCACCCAGCCAGCCTTATCGCGTCTCAAATCGCTTCGCAGACTATACTGTCGAGCGTAGTGGCTGTGTTTTGCGGGACTTATCATAGCGACGGCCCCCACCGCCCACCCCTCAACCCCCCCCCCCCCCCACCCCACTCTGTTGCAGCGATTGCTAGCGGTTGTAAGATCTGAGTTTGGAAGGCTGGCTGAGCGGGCTCAAAGGCAGAGGAGTGTAGGAGAGAGGGAGAGAGAGAGAGAGAGAGAGAGAGAAGAGCCAGGTTGGGGTACCCGCAGGCGTGTGCCCGCTGACTGGGTGTGTGCTTCCCCGCCACAGGTCTCCCTCCCCCGAACCCATCTACAACAGCGAGGGCAAGCGGCTCAACACCAGGGAGTTCCGGACTCGCAAGAAGCTCGAGGAGGAGCGACACAATCTCATCCAGGAGATGATCGCCTTGAACCCTGACTTCAAGCCTCCCGCCGATTACAAGTGAGCGTCTTCCGTGCGGGGATCAGCCCCCACCGCCCCGCGGGGCGGAGGGAGGCATTTGCACAGCGCCTCTCGCGTCGGGTGGGGGCGGGCGGTGGGGGGAGGTCCCAAGGCGCTGGGCATTACAGGCAGGGATTCGGACCCGGGGTGTGGGGTGTGGGAGGGTGACCGAAGGCGCTGTCGAAGAGGAGGGTCTTGAAGGAGGCGAGGGAGGGAGCGAGGGAGAGGAGGGACTGTGGGATGGAGTTCCAGAGGGTGGGGGACAGAGAGGCTGAAGGCCACGGCCACCGTCGGTTGGGGCTTCGGCTACAGGGTTAACAGGAGCTGAGGGGGAGGATTCCCTGTCCCCAGTGACTGGTCTGACCTTCCAGGTCCAGTAACTGAGGACCTCTGCGCTGGACAAGAGAGGGTTTTAATGATGGAGCGCGGGGTGGGGTGGGGTGGGGGGGGAAAGGGAGGAGTGAGTGAGTGGTTGCCGTGTGCTGATCTGTGTGCGCATGTGTGTGTGTTTACACAGGCCACCAGCCACGAGGGTCAGTGACAAAGTGATGATCCCTCAGGATGAGTATCCCGAGATCAACTTCGTGGGACTGCTGATTGGGCCCAGGTATGTCTGCTGTGCGTCTGTCTGTCTCTCTCACTGTCTGTCTGTCTGTGTGTGTGTGTGTGTATCTCTCCTCTGTGTGTGTGTGTGTGTGTATCTCTGCTCTGTGTGTGTGTGTATCTCTGCTCTCTGTGTGTGTGTCTCACTGTGTATCTCTCTGTCTCACTATGAGTGCCTCTGTCTCTCTCTGATTCTGTCTCTCGTTCACTGGGTGTCATTCTCTTTTGTTACGCGTGTCCCCTCTCTTGCTGTGTGTGTGTGAGTGTCTCTTGCTGTGTGTGTATGTATTCGCCTGTCTCTCTTTCCCACACCTCCCCCCCCCCATTTCACCTCTTCCCTCTCTCTTCTCAGGGGAAACACGCTGAAGAACATCGAGAAGGAATGCAACGCCAAGATCATGATCCGGGGGAAGGGCTCTGTGAAGGAGGGGAAGGTGGGCAGGAAGGATGGGCAGATGCTTCCAGGGGAAGATGAACCTCTGCACGCGCTGGTCACAGCCAACACGATGGAGAACGTCAAAAAGGCCGTGGAGCAAGTAAGGTCTCGCCTGCGTGTGTGTGTGGGGGGGGGCACGTGTGTGTGTGTGTGTGCGTGTGGGGCACGTGTGTGTGCGTGTGTGTGGTGGGGAGCTCTCGTAACGAGACTGTTCCTCTCGTGCAGCGTCCAGCTTGAAGCCCGTCCCGCAAGCGAGAGGACACGGGTTCGATTCCCAGACGGGTGAAGCCTTAGGCGAGTTTCCTTATCTCCCCCCCCCCCCCCGGTTAGTCAACGGGCGGCTCACCTTCCGGGGAGGGGTGTAATAATAATCCCTCCCGGCCCAGGGTGGGGTATGGTCTGGCTGTTTGAGGTGTGTGGTTGGGGGGGGTGTGGAGAATTGCTCGCGGGAGCTGGACACCCCCCTAACGGTCGCCCGCGCCCGTTTGCCGCAGATCCGGGGGATCCTGAAGCAGGGCATCGAGACCCCGGAGGATCAGAACGACCTGCGTAAGATGCAGCTGCGGGAGCTGGCGAGGCTCAACGGTACCCTGCGGGAGGACGACAACAGGTGAGGAGGCTGGGGGGGGTGTCCTCCCATCACCAGCCCCCTCCCCACCTCAGTCTTTCTCTGCCTCCCTCCCCTGTCGTGCATCCCCCCCCCCCCCGGACCCACCACTCCACATCTCCCTCACACGCACTCTCTCTGTCTCCTCTCTTTCTCTCTTTCAACCTTTCTCTGTCCCCCACTCCATCTCTCTCTGTCGTCCTCACACGTCTGTGTGTCTCTCTGCCGCTCACTCGTCTGTGTGTCTCTCTGCCGCTCACTCGTCTGTGTCTCTCTCTCTCCCGTCCTCACACATCTGTGTCTCTCTCTCCCGCCCTCACACGTCTGTGTCTCTCTCTGTCCCGTCCTCACACGTCTGTGTCTCTCTCTCCCGTCCTCACACGTCTGTGTCTGTCTCTCTCCCGCTCACACGTCTGTGTCTCTCTCTCCCGCTCACACGTCTGTGTCTCTCTCCCGCTCACACGTCTGTGTCTCTCTCTCCCGCTCACGCGTCTGTGTCTCTCTCTCCCGTCCTCACACGTCTGTGTATCTCTCTCCCGCTCACTCGTGTGTGTCTCTCTCTCTCTCCCGCTCACACGTCTGCCCGTCTCCCCCTCTCACACCTCTGACTCTCTCCCCAACGGTGCCGTTGCTTCCCTGTGACGCTCAGTCCCTCTCCTGCGTCGGTTGTTACAGGATCTTGAGGCCCTGGCAGAGCTCAGAGCCGAGAAGCATCACCAACACCACCTTATGCACCAAGTGCGGAGGAGCAGGTCACATCGCCTCCGACTGCAAGTTCACCAGGTCAGTGTGCAAGACGACGACGACAACAACAACAACAACACGTGGCACTTACGCAGTGCTCCTTCAGGCGGTTTGATGGGGAAACCTGACCGATTTGGGAGGGAATCTGATAAGCATTTGCCCCGTAGAGTCGTGGCGAGCCTCACGAGCGAGAGGACCCGATTTTCCGCACCCCCCCCCACCCCGACCCCCACCCGCCCGCCAACAAATAATAATTTGGTCGCTCAATCCACGGCCGTTTGTGGGCACGTCGCCGGGCGCAATCGGCTACCGTGTTCCGCCCACAAACCAGCCACTGCGCTTTCCGCGCGGTGCGTCCCGTGAAGCTCTTCGAGGCGTCACGACGCCGTGATGGGGCGCCGGGTCAGTTGCGAGGGTCGTTGTGGCAATTGAGGTCCGGGAT